AATACAAGATAAGACTAATCTCTGAGACACACTTGTTTTCCAATTTTACATTCAAATTCACAGTCTTGGCCTAACATTTTACAAGAAAACAGCTGTCAGTGAGGGTCAGGTTTAAACAATAATTCTTTAAACCTTTCACTTTTTTAACAACACCATAAAAGTTATTTTATAATTGCAGAATATATATTCAAATGGGTTTTTATTTCTATAAAAACCAACATGACAATGAGGGCAATGCCGCAATGAGCAAGAAAATCAGTGAGTACCTGAGCATGTACAACATGCTAATATGCTAACAGTCTAATAAAAATAAACAATAAAAGTTATTTCTGAGTTTCAAATAAATATTAAACATTAACGCCATTTATGAGATCAAAGATTGCTTTAAATTTGTTAAAACATAAGAGCGGTTATGGTGTTTAGGGTAAATGTATATCAGAATGATAGCATGCTTGCCTAAAGATGGTATATACTTCTACATCGAGTGATTGCTGTGACCCACAGCACAAGTCTATATACTTCTGCATGCTGTTTGTGTTGCTCTGCAATAACACTTCCAAAACACTAGCTGGCATTGAGGTTTTTCTGTTCCTCTGTATCGAGTTCCTTCAGTGGTGTTTTGTTTTTTCTAAATGCTTCCTTAATGTAAAAGCAGCTAAAACTTGCTTTTTCAGATTTAGGAACGGGCAGATGTGCAACAACCTTAATTATAAGGTAAACACTAAACAAAAGTTTGCAGTTGGTGCTCCTTTATGAGACTCTGCACTTGTAAACGCACAGTCCAACAGGTTGGTGCAGCTCTCAGCTCCGCCCATACTCGTTAGAGCTACCAAGCTGACTAATCACAGAGCTTGCGCTATGCGTCGTTGCAAGGTGTAGTTATATTTTATGAGAGGTGCGCATCAGCGTTGGCATCAGCCACGGCGAGGGCTATGCAACCATACAGAGGCTGCACTGGATCATACGTGTGCACTTGATGCATAAGTATAAACCAGCCTTTATTTTATGGGTCATCTGGACACAAATGAATACCAGGAAAGTTGTAAAACCCTTTAAACTTTACCACACAGGATGGTCTAACAAAACTTAAGGTATTTACTAGTTGCCATTGAAAAAAAATTTATACGTATACGGTTTTGTCACCACTCTGTTGGCACTTAATAAAAAAGTTTCTAATTCTTCTTAAAAACCGAAGGGCAAGAAAGTTAATTACTTCGATAATAGAAAGCAGACCAAAGATAATATCAATATAGCTGAAGTTGTACTTTACTTAAAAGACTCCTTTAATGCAGGTTTGAAAGAGGAAGTCAATTAGCACATCAAGTGTGAAGCTCTTTGCTTGCTGGATTATGGAAGGGCTTCAGCAGAATATCAAAGTGCAGAAAAAAGTGTAACGTGTGTCTTTTTCTGCAGTTTTTTGTGTGGAGTTTGGACCTCTCCAGAAGCAGACCCTTTATGAACTTTAATAAGACAGCGGTGGACATGAAACATACAGAAGGAGTGTGAAATACATTCAAACTGACCTTCTCTGTTTTCCTTTAGTTGCTGCCAATGTTTCTGTCAGCACATTTTGCTAGGCTGGCTTAAAGCCTCAAGTGAGGTGTTACACTGCATTTACAAAGGTGCCAAATCCCCCTGCATTCTGGCAGGTTGTCTGGTACTCAGATGAAAACCCGCCTGAGGGGCAAAACAGGAAAGAGACGCCCCCTACTCACAACACAGCTTGGCTATTGATTCTTGGAGCCGCTGTGCCTCTGAACGCCTCTGCAGAAGAACCGCAGCTCTCAGAAAACACGTTCACGTAGGAGGAGACGCTCGCAGGAAGGTGCCTTTGTCTGCCCTCAACAAATGAACTCAGGAAAGGGATCGACTAACAGATTTCTACCTGTATGTTTCATATTTATCACAACAGAGGGCTTCATGTGAAGGGTTAGCCTAGCCGCACGAAAACAAAGTCTTTGATTATTTGAAGATAATAAATTAAATGCTTTTGTGAAGACTTTAATCTCGCTAGAATTATCTTCTCTACTATTTCTAACAGATTTTATTTCTAATCACATTTAATCAAAAAGTCACAATAAAGTTTTAAAAAAAGTGTAGATATTATAACCTCAAGAGGTTTTGAGGTTGTCTGTTAATTTCAGTTTTTTTGGACTGATTTTATTCTCAATTTGAGAAACTTTTCTTACCATCTAAATGACAAAAAAGCTCAACATTTACTCCGCACACTCTGACTGACAGTTCGGCATTAAGATTCAATTCTTAAGTCAGTTCTTGCACCGCTAACAGTGTCTGATCCTAAACAAAAGGACGATTTCTAAAGAGGATCAGAGGCAGTATTGAATTATTCATCTCACCCTAACAAAGAATTAAACTAATCTATCCGCCAGTGACACACACAGTTTTCTGCGACGACGCAGACGCTGCCAAACAGGATGTGGCAGTGACAGGTTAGCATGGGTCGCTAATATTAAATGAAATGCTCAGATAATAGCAGCTTAATAGCTTGTGTGTTTGAACATGACATGAAATATCATTAATACAAGCAGGGTTGTTTTACACTTTACAGTTCCTCGTGAAAAAAAAAAAAAACAATAAATAAAAATGCAGCGTATAAGCTAGTCTTGCATAGCCAGACATCAAAGTGAACGTCTGAGAAATTATGGCTGCTTTAAATGGTCAAGGACCAATCAATCAAGCCTTGTTTTTTTTTCTGCCCATGTTTAGGAATGTAAAAAGGTCTGCAAAATAGCGGGTCATTATGCAACCTTTATATAATTTTTTTTTTACAAACATTTCAAAAAGATGCCCCATCAATACCAAAATCAGTCTTACAATATCCAAGGTTTTTCCATCATTACATTCTCTCAAACTGTTATTTTTCTTCCTTTACTCTTTTCTACAACCTATATGAATGTGTGTTTGTGTTAGTTTCTGTTAGATTAGTCAATAAACTGTAATTAAAGAAAGTTGCCTGTGCATATTTATGACTCTAATGTCTTAAACGTTGATGTTGTTACTCTGCTTGTTACCCTGCTTTTTTTCTTTTTTAAATTTTTATAGAAATATCCATAGTTGAAGTCAAATGTCCATTCGAATGATCGATTAGTTTGTTCGGATTTAAAGTGTAGATTCCTTTGAAGCCCCTTTCAAATGAATCTTCAATTCACATTGAGCTAATTCGCTACAACTTTCACCATAATCAGTCGGCAAATGAGTAAAAATATTTCTTTTAGAATACACTTAAGGACTTCAAGAATAACTCTTGGTAGTCTTTTAACAATATTACGATGTGAATCTTTTCGTTAAGACTCTCTCTACAAATGAGCATTGTCACAAAAGGACAGCCTTTTCATGTTGGATAAAAGAAGGAGCGGCGCAATACTTGTTTGCTAGTTTCAGCTAGTTTTGTTGCTATTTTGAGAAACTATAATAGATTTTTCATTATACCAAAAAAAACCCGGTCTAAATTCCAGCGAAGAGTTGCGCCTCGCTTACGCACTGCTTAATAGCCTACACAAAAGATGTAAAGCAATACGCAAATATCTTTACGTTTGAAAAAATTAAAATATTAAGGATAGACCATATATAGGATATAATAAGAATATATATGGGATATATATATATAAAGGATTAAAATATTACAAAACATATTATTTTCTAGCCTACATAAAAATGAAAAATCACTGCTTTTATGTCTTCTTCATCTCGGGAGGCTTTTTCAGTTCATTCACAACAATTTGCTTTTGTATAATGTTATTATTATTAGCAGTATTATTTATTATATCAATATTTAAATTTGTTTTATTAAAAACAAGCTTAGATAAGCCCACCTGCAGGTTTTAGTCCATATAGGGCACTGCATGTGTTTTAGGATATAACTCAGGTTTTTAAACAGACTTCGTTATTATTGTTCATTTATTCGTTTGCTGGAAATTAGAACTGAACTGAATAGATGCCCTGTTTAACTGTTTTCTGTTAAAAAAAAAAAAAAAAAAACTGTTAACTGTTTGCTTGTGAAATGCTCAGTTTTTCCAATTACACTTACTTAACGTCCTGTAAATAGCAAATGCGCTTATGGCGCAACACAGCTGGCTCTTAAAGGAAATGGGAGAAGAGACTCTGATTGGTTTATTCTCAAAAAACACGCCTATAACTCATTAAGAAAATAAACTCAACCTGTTTAGACCATGCGCCACAGCGCAATGCGGATTTTGCCGTCCTTAAATTAGCAAAAATGCATTCTGACATGCCCCGAAAGCATTTGCGCCCTGCACTTTGCGCATGGACCGTCAAAATAGAGCCCTCAATGCTACATGTAATGGACCTGGAAATCCTGTATATTTAAACCAATCAGAAGATAGCTTTCAATCTATTGAAGTGTTTCCAAAAAAAAAGTGTGTCGTATGCATCAAACATTTAGCCAGAGGTCCGTGGGCAGTTCTTGGCATGACGTCTGAGGCTGAAACTAGGTCTCTGCTAACTGGCCAGACTTTAGGCTAGTTTAAGCATTTCTTTTATCAGGTTTGCTAAAGGCAGACATCTAAAGACATGCTAGCAGTAAAATATTCACATTGCTTGGATAAGCGAGGAAATCCTCTGGGTTTTCATGCTGCGGGGCGCTAGGCTAGTCTTTAGCTGTCTAGCTGTGCTTATAATCTCCAGATGGCCTATTCTTCTGTATTTCTTACAAAATAACTTAATGTTTAATCTCATTTTTGATCAAAATTTGTTCTCCTTCTCTTCAGTTGCAGAACCGCAGTATTTTGTTTTGTCTGAGCTTGATCTGATCACTGAGGATTCTTAGAGGGAAATCACTGACTTTGTGGGATTTTTGCATTATTCAGCATTGCAACGTTCGGCAAACATACAGACCTCTGTGCAATAACTTTCCTACAGCGATCTATGAGCTTTTGCAGAATCAATGTGAAGAGGTCAGTTGACTGATGGGCTTTCATTTTCATGTAACAACCTGTCACCACTGACATATGGCAGACTACCTTTTGTTGAACAGCTCAGGATTCTGAATCTTGGCGTCTGTGTCGTAGACAAAGTGCTCTTGGGAAATAGTGATGCTGTTGTCCAGACTGTCGTTCTTGCTGATGGTGACGACTGGATAGCCCATCTGTAGAGTCCAGCGGTCCATAACCTGTGTGATGTTGATATCCTTTCCCTCTCGCTGCATAGCCTGTGACGCAAAACACAAAATCACATCACATAGATTCATATATCATAGTGTAGAGCATGTAAAACTGAATAAATTGTACCAGATAAAGTCAGTGATGCTTTATTTATTCATTTAGATTGTAACAAAAATGAAAGATTTAACTAAAAACCCATGCAGACCTTTCAACTGAAATTTAACAGTGAAAAGTAAGTGAACTTTACTGTTCTCATAATCCACAAGCATGAATATCACAAAGCTATTTCCAGCTATCTAACTTCTCTACACAAGCGTGACGCTTGTACAAGAGAAGAATTACATTTATAGGTCTGATTTGTTCAGAGAAAGCTGCTCCTCCTATTTTAAAGAAGTAAAACATAAAATTGGATCTCACGGCTCATTTATGAAGAAAGCCTGTAATACGACTGAGTTTTGTCCCTGAGGGAAATGTGCTGCATACACCGCTCCTCCTTATTCTTTAAAAATGCAACTATAAATGGCTCGGCACGGTGGACAACTGGCAGTTTTCTGAGTCAATTGTTTTCAAAAGCTCTCTGTATGTATGAGGATCGTTTTAATACTTCATGTAGTTTCTTCCATGTTTCACCTTGAGCTGCTGTATCCATTTTTAAAAACGACAGTAGCTGAATGTAAAACACTGAGAATGCTATGAATAACTTGCTGGTGTGTTTTGTGGAGAGAACTGTTTTCCAATGACTTCACAAATTAACAGGAATGATCAAGGTAAACTTCATTTGTCAGAACAAAGAACTCAAAGTTTGGATGGGGTGACATGGTGGCTTGGTGGTTAGGACTGCTGCCTCACAGCAAAAAGGTCACTGGTTTAAGTCCAGGCTGGGTCAGTTGGCATTTCTGTGTGGAGTTTGCATGTTCTCCTTGTGTTGGCGTGGGTTTCCTCCGGGTTCTCCGGTAGCCTCCACAATCCAAAAACATGCACAATCGGTGAATCAAAGAAACTAAATTGGCCGTATTGTATGTGTGTAAATAAGTATGTATGGATTTTTCCCAGTATTGAGTTGCAACTGAAGGGGCATCCACTGTGTAAAATATATGATAGATAAGTTGGTGGTTTAATAAAGGGACTAAGCTGAAGGAAAACTATTGAATGAATGTTTGGATAGTTGATGTTTTTCAAATGGTGCCGTGACCCGGGTATGGGGGAGGATGCTATATGGTTCAGGATGCTAACTGACAGTATGTGTTGTACAGGTAAACCTCAATCCCTCAGCCTAAAACTATACCTCTACTGCACACTTTATGATAGATATAAAAAAATATATTTTACTGTTTTTCTTTTCTTAGAATGGCTTAACTTCAAATTTAGATCTTTCCTTTTAATTAATAATTTTGTTGTTAATTTTTTATTTAATATCTGTTACAGTATTATAAGTTTAACACAGAACTTATGAATGACAACTTATACTTACTTTTCAACAACTGATGTACCAAAATCTTTCATTTAGTCTATTCTTTTTTGCTGAATATTATTAAAAACAAACATAATATTGTATTATCATGTATACAACATTCAGTAAATATAAATATTTTCCCCAGTAAATATTATAACATATAATTAACAAGTCTGTTATATCCAGATGCATCAGAATAATGTAGCTACTAGCTAACAATATTTATATATTATACTATATACTATACTACGCCTGTCTCATCTGTCTCTGAGCTAACTTACTTGAACTGTCTCCATTTCTGCTCTTATCTAATGTCCATCTGCATCATTATCATAGTCACTAAAACCAATCTCGTCCTTACATTCATCTGCAGGAAGAGTCAGTTCTCTCCTTTTCGTCTTTCACTCACAACAGAACATGGTGGTGCTCGCTAATACACTGTTCTTTGTGTTTTTATCTTTTCAAAAGTAGTATTGTCAATTAAATTTGATTTTATCCATAATTCAAATTCCATTAACATACAACTAATCAACATTATATTACTAGCATTCCTGTTGTTATTGTTACAACTTAAAAGATCACAGCAGACCTTGCTAACTAGTTAACCTATTGCAATATTGCACATTCCACTATTGCACAATGTTGCCATTTGGCAACAAACACATTTGATCGATTTACAAAAAACGAATTTGATAAAAACTTTGTAAATATGTCATAATAACTCACTTGAGGGTTTTTTTTATTTTTAGTGGATTTGACTTGAGTTGATTCTTTGTTTTTATTGACATTTACATTTGTATTCAGCAGCTATTAACAATAAACGCCAGTCTGTCAGAAATCGCTCCACAGAAAAACACTGAATGTCAAAGCACATCATTGGCCAAACTAAGGTCTTCTCTTTCCAATAACAAAAAAAAAAAAAAAAAAAAAAAAAAAAAAACAGTTGAATGTTGGTCTTAAAGAAACAGTGGCAGGGGAAATTAACATAAATATGTTCCATAGAGAAACACCAAGCGGTAGAGGGCTAGCAACCGATTCTAGATCCAGTAGTCTTTAACATCTTTGTTCATGTAACTGCCATTCAGTGCCGACTTTTGCTGTATTGAGCTCCATTTTAGGTTTACCAAGAATGAACAAAACAGGAATCAATTGTCCACAGTCCAGCCTTTTGTGTGCTTCATATGAGAAGTATCTGTATCACTGTCAATACAAAGTCAATATTTTTAGAGGTTTTGTTTCAGTCCAGATCTAGCTGTTTGTTTTTGGTGGTGGATGGTAAAGCAGTCTGCTAGGTTTTGGATCAAAGCAAATTTCATTGGCTTCACAGATATTTCCAATCATTTCTATTCGCTGCATCCTAAATATTTGCAGCATTTCATATTTACTAAGTCCATTTGGTATTTTAGTCTGAAATTGTTTAAAAAGCTGTGAAGGTTTACAGTGTTTCTGCAGCAGCACAGAGTCAGTGTGTTGTTTTGACCCGAGGGATTAAAGGGGAATGTGGTGACAGAAACAAAAGTGCTCTGTCAGGCTCTCTTGCTCTTCTGTAAACTTCAACCTGACCAGATCAGGCAAGCATGTGCACTAGTGAAACTCTTGCTTATACAGATTATTATAATCATCATGAGCATTAAAATATGAGCATAACCAAGCTGACTGATGAGTGTCTAGAATATATAACAGAAACTGGATGACTTTTCACATTTGTAGATGACTCACGGTTTGTTTACCGTATGAGAGAAGAGGCTGATGACGGCAACTCATGTTCCTATTATGAATCATTTTCTGTAGGAAGGCTTTCACGAAGCTACAGTACCTTTACTCTGGTGGAAATAATTAAAGCAAGTGAAGGCCAGTCCGGCGATGGGTCGTGAGCTTGACAAAGGGCTTTGTGGGCGCTAAGCACTGCCAGATTATTGCAGCAAATTGGATTTCATGAATAGCTAATGAACACAGCGCATATCAGTATTCATTAGATGATGGGCTGTCACAGACTGTTAATGTAGCTAAATTCGTCAGTGCCTCACAAACACGGTCACTGAGACGATACAGGGGTCTAGGTTCGGCTACTTCGTATGAATTCACCTTTAAATCTCTTCAGTTCAGAGAGAAAATGAAAAAGAGTCGCCCATCAGCCGGGAGAGTGATGTGAATGACAAAACGCTTCACTCAACACTGATAGCCGCTAAATGTCCTGCTGGTATATTACAAAGTATAATAACGTTGAGATTACGCTTGAAAGTAATCTCATTAAAGTCATGACACTTGTGAGATGAGCACTGAGAAGACTTGCTGAGAGTCGTCCGACTTTAAAAGCAGATCTCAGTGTTCAGGACTTGAACTCAATGCTCGGTTTCTCTGTGATTATGGCTGTTGGCTACGTTTCTTAATAATCACCCACTTTCATTCTTGCTTCCGCTTGATGAATCAAGTTCTTTTCATGCCCTAAAATGCCTTTTAAAAAAGTTTAAACTTTGATATTAGCAAGTTATAGTTTTAAATGACATCTTTATAAATTACAACAGCACTGTACAGATGAGCTAGCACGTTAGCATTTTGTAGATTAACATGTCCACCTAAATAATTGTCCAAAATTGTGTTTTATCAGTTAGATGTGGTACAGTATATCCTATGATTATTTGATAAACCATGAAAACATTTAGCCGATGCGCAGATAATGGTGTATAAAGAATTCCTGAAAGAGCATTAGCATCTTAATGTTAGCCTTTCTGGTAATTAAACAGAAGGAATTATGGGAAGTGAAGTGTGCCACTAACAATATATGTTTGCTAAACCTTCAGTGGTACTACAAAAGACAGAGAAACTGAAGCAGCGGATCACAGAAAACACACCTGAGTGTTTCTGTCAGGAGGGGGACAGTCATGCCAAACCAAATAAATACTGTATTCCTGAGGCCAGAGTCAAGCATTAAATAGGTCAACTTTCCTCCAGCAGACGATCATTTTTAGATTTTTCTTTGGTTATTTTTGACTACACCTGAGCTAAAGGGTTAACACTCATGGTCGAGACTCACCAGGCTTGTCAACAATTATTTTACACTTCACTAATTAAGATTCAAGTCATTTATAAACTGATTAAAATCAGCAAAATCAGCAGAAAGACTTGATTTGCAGTATCTGAACATTTGCATTCAGCAGGTTTGCAGTGATGAGTTTTCTGGATCAATATCTGACCTTCCTCTGTAAGAAACATTTCCATTTTAAGTGAAACCTCAAGTGTAGAAGCAAGAGAATCAAACACAACCCAGACTCTTTCCCATGTGGCATTTGTATAAAGCCCATATGCGTTGATGTGAGTAGGTGGTGTGTTGGCATAAATTGTGCTCTGCTGATGATGTGCAGTTATATAATGGCCTCTGACCCAAATGCAGCGTATGAATCTCTGAGCACCTGCAGGAGCTTCACTCACTGAATTTAAGTGGGTTGAACACACACAATTTCACTCGCTGCTCAGCGTTAACTGACCCCAGCCATGATTCCTGCTCACGGATGTAGGTCTCACACCCAGAAGATGTGTAAAATCTTACCTCTGAGAGTTTGTTCCACAAGTCATCTCTTGCTGCGTTCCCGTACATATGCGTCATCAAGTAATCCTGCAAACACACAGAGACGCAGATCAATATTGGAAGAAGAATAGATTGGACTTGGACAGGAATGCCAACTTGGGAAACCGAATAAGCCCAAACAATAACATTACTAATCCTCTCAATTCAAGCTGAACTTATGCAAATCAGCAGCAGATGTTTGGGTGTGATTGGCTGTCAGTTCAAGGAGGACCATAAGGAGACCAATTAGAGGCTGATTATGTTGTTCAAGTCGATGCTGCATCAGTGTGTGTCCCTGCATGAGTAAAATACAAATCAGCATCATGATTTTACAAGAGTTGCATTCAAGACACAAAAGATGGGGAAGTTATCCACATTATAATAAGCATCCTGAGTTTTGAAGGGAATAACTGGTGAAAAGCACTGATTCCTTCAGTGAATAAAAAAGTAATACTGTTAAACTGTTCTCCAATGTGTATTACATTTACCACTATATACAGTATGTCATTACAGTTTTTCTCAGTCACTTTGGTGCATTTCTCACAACACGATTTACATTTGCACAACAGTTATTGCATTTCTCATTCCTTATAAAAATTGCATATGCTTTTGCAAAAATTAACTAAACTTGTGAATGCTGAATAGCCATTCCATATAAAACCAATAGTCCTCATTTCGTTACTTGAGTCATTACGTACAAAACTATTGAACTAGTTGTCAAAATCTGTTAAGCTAATTTTATAAAACAATTTTAAATCTTTTTTCCTAAAAATGTCTTTTAAGTTGAACAATTTCATGAATGATTTACAGACCTGTGTATGTTGTAGGTTCAGTTGGAATATGTACTGCAATATTGTTTACAGTTAAGCACAGCTCTACCTAAAGGAAGTTTATGTTTGTTGTAAATAAGAGTGTATTTTTTTTTCTTCTGCCCAATGCTGTGAATAGATTCGAATTGCAAAGAGCAAATGCAGTAAAAAGGTGAAACATACATGTTCAGTGTCTTGTACTCAGATACCTCACTAAATGCAGTGATGTCTTACTTTTCTGTAGTTTTCAAATGGCTGTGTAAATAGTATCTAGAGCTGTCTTAAGCATTTTCAGGAAGTGTCACCAAAAATTTTTGCATTGGAAAAAATGTGTTATCGTCATAATGAAAACATGACAAAGCCATTTGACTATCTTGTTTATAAACAATGTTGTCAGGAATTTTCATCTTCATGACACTGACACTTCCATTGACATCAATACTTGCTTTTGAGGAATGAGCTATCCATTTTGAGCAAGTGACATGCTTTTGCAGGTTATCCACTAGGTTTTGCAGTTAGTTCTAATTGTTTTAAAAATCGCATTAACTATTGTGCAAATGTAAATAGTGTGAATTTTATCTAGTAAACATTTTAATTGGAACAAAATCAATTTATTGTTTGACCTATTATTCTAAAATTCTGATAGTACATGGTTTATATTGGCCTTAACCTCACTTCATTTTAGCTTTCAGGAGACAATTATATTGTCTGTTTTTATTTTCATTAGGTCAATCAGCATGAGCAATTCTGAGTGTTTTAGTGGATTTAAAAATAATTAGTGTCAATTTATTAGTTTTAATGTATATTTTTGCATACTTTAATAAGCTGTCTAAGCAGCTGTTGTCTTAGTTGTCTAACTAAGCCTAAGCTAAGAATATTCATTTAATTTAGATATAATTGGTCAAACAACATATTATTTATTGACATTTTTACAATATTAAATGAATCAATTCACATGCATGATGAGTTTTGGAAACATTTCACTCTAAGTCAACAAAGTGTATATAAAACGAAATAAATCATACTTAATATGTTCTAATCCAAGTGTCTCAATTTCAAACACAGACAAATATGCACTAAAAAGTGGAAGTAATGAATGTGTTGTGTATTATTGAAGCAAAGACACCAGTGGGTGTTCATTTGACTGCTAAAAGACTTTAATCTGTTAAACAGCGGCAGCTCTTCATTATCAGTCGTATTCTGCCCCGCAGTCTCAGTGATACAGGTGGTGGGCGACATGAAGATGAAGGAGTCTGATCCTGGAAAGCACATTTACATTCATCTGATAAGAACATCTGGTGGGAGGCCTTTTCCCCGCTTTACCAGATTCCTTGATAACTTTTGACTGACCGTGAGCGATAAACCCATCAAGTGTAAACTGCTCCATGTTTCATGTTGAGTCGATAGATCAAGCTGACAAAATAAATAAGTATATATATATATATCTGAAAGATGGAATTACTGTAATTCTTCTCAAACCAAATTTTGCAGAATGATCAAGCTGCTCTGTGATAACAAAATTATATTATTGACTTTATGAAAAAAAAAATCTAAACAAAACATAAAAGTAGTCTAAAATCACTTTTCATTTTAACATTATTACATTTTAACACATTAACACTCTGGTTAAGTATCTATGATGTAAACAGATGGTTTGATTAGCTTATTCCAGCTTTATTAAATTCATTCAAAGTAAACACAAATTGATTTAAGAAATGTGGAATTTTACAATGTTAGTCGCCTGACTGAAGTTCAGTATAGACATGCTGAATAGAAATTTGCATACGCCTTGGTCTGTCTGCATGTACAGCATAACAAATAATAAACTGCACTTGAAGTTTTAGTAAAAAATTAACAATGAAACACCCAATACCGTACAAAATTTGCAACACAATTTCACAGCAATTTGTAACTTTTTGATTCAGTGACTACTTCATATGAATTAGTATAATGTATTTTATATATTTGAGTAAGATTTGCATATTCCCAGTGATGATTGGGTTTAGGGATGGGATTTGGATGCATATTTCATTTTAAAACAAAATGAAATAAATTAGAAACCTCTACATTGTAAAACATTATATGAACAATTAGTTATGACAGCATATGTTTTTAGCTAATTGTAACATATTAAACTAAGTTAGTAATGTTCTAACTTACTAAGTTATGCGAGCAGTTTTAAGTCAGTTTAACATAATACAGTTCAATGGAATCATAAAGTGAACTTGGTTTAGCTTAAAAACTTAAGGCAACTAGGACATTTTATATTGTAACAATTAGTAAAATAAGGGCATTTACATTACAGATTGGGTTGATATATGCTACCAAAACAAAGAAAAAAATATTAATGTGTGAAATCGGCATGTAATGACATGTGCCATGAATCAGTCATATTTATTCTAATTGCAACACTTGTAAACATCTTAATCATAATATTAGCCCCTTTAACACAGTGATACTGATTCCATAACAACCTTATTGGTAAATTTAAAAAAAAGTGCTATTCACACAGGTAAGGACTTTCTGGAGTTGTTCTGGAAAAGATCATTCACACATCCATTCTAAAATACCGGTACATTCATTAATCAGAAATGATCTCTAAACGGCTGCGCTTGTATTTGTAAGCATAGAAGGAGTTGGGCTTCTGTTGATGGTTTCACTTTTATTTTAAAGCTTTATTATTCATGCAGCTGCCTTTTTTCCAGAGACATCCAAAGGCAGAACCGAGAACCGCAGCAAAATGTTTACACACTTGACTACATTACAAATTCTGTGGATGGATAAGTTGTGATGAAAACATATTGAGGAACACTTTTGCATGTTATGATGTTTATCATGAATATTTTCTGGATAATTTTTTATCCAGATGGCATTAAGAAGGAACGTAGAATTGTTAGTTAACTAATATCTAGCTGCTAAATGTGTCAGGAAAAAGGCTTTTATTTTTATAAACAAAACGGATGTGAATGAACCTGAATGTTCGGATTGGCTGGAGTAGACGCCTCACGTCAGCACGTTCTAATCGTGAACACTCTTTCTGGCAATTTTCTTTCTGCGTTCACAAAGTGCAAGGAAAAATTGCCGGACGAATTTATCGTTATTTTCAAATTAGGTCTGTTCACACATTTGCCAGTAATTTTCCGGAAAGGTCTGCATGTGTGAAAGGGGCAATTGTCTTATTCAGAATTAGGTAAATTATTAGATGCCTGATGTTCATGAAAATGTACCTACTGAAACCATCATTCATCACCATTAATTAAAGTGAGACTGCACACAAATCTCATTGGCTCTTTTGTGTATTTTGATGCACCAGTTTTGAATTCCAAGTTTGTGACTAAATAACTGAACAGTCAAAACAGTTGGATTTTTGAAAGTCATAAGAGTGAGCAGATGAAGACAGGGTTGGTTATTTTGGAGTGGCCAATTCTTTTAATGAGGCAATTGCTTCAGTCTTTGCTTCCTGAATCGAATCTGCTTGTTCAAACGTGGACAGGAGTCATGCTGAGAGGTCTGCGCAAATTGCATTGGGATCCTGAAAACGTGACTCGGTCCAGCTGGCCTTCTTCTCTCTACATGCTCTGCTGAGCTCTCAGAGAGTCTGGGATTTGAGTCTGGAGCTGCACCAGATTCATGTTACCATCCTGATGAATCTGTTTTAAGCAAGACCAATTCCTTCCTTCCTCTCTCTCTCTTTCTCTCTTTTTATATCTTTGGTAAAGGTATTCCCCTGAGGCAGAGTGACCATGTGGCATAAACCTGCCTCTGATAGGGCCGTCACAGTGTGTTGTCATTATTTTGACACTGATTTGTTCTGCAGGAGGAAAGAGGAGTAAAAATAAATCCAGTCATTCAGTCAGTCAGTCAAATGTGAGTAATATGTTTGTGTGTGTATGTGTAGGCCACAGAAATTGACACAAATTGTGAAGGCCCAGAAAGTTTTGTGCATCATCTACTCCTAGATTTTCTCAAACTTTCCATTTTCTTAAACTTCAATATTTTGAAGTGGTAAAATTAATTAGAAATTAAAATCAATCAATCAATCCATCCATCCATCCATCCACCCTCCCACCAACCAACCAACCAACCAACCAATCAATCAATCAATCAATCAATCAATCAATCAATCAATCAATCAATCAATCAATCAATCAATCAATCAATCAATCAATCAATCAATCAATCAATCAATCAATCAATCAATCAATCAATCAATCAATCAATCAACAAACCAACCAACCA